TTCCGAGGTATTGCAATCTCCAGTGGGGATCGTGAAGGCAGACTAGAGACTACCATTCCGTTATTTAGCCGGAAATAACGGCAGACATCTTTGCTTAAGTCATAACCCTCTCGGCACAATACTGGAGTTCTCTCCATTCGGGTAGGTATGAAGCAAGTTCGACAGATGTCGACGTGCTTCGAGAAATGCGCCATCACGGAGTATTCGTCATCATACAGTTCGCGTAGAGCGCCGCGTCGTTCTCTGAAGTGGACTCGTCGTTGGGGAAGGTGTTGAGACATGGTCAATCAGCTAAAGCGGCATATGAACAAGCTTGATTAGATCGTCGAGACACGTTTCCTTTATAGCTTCTTTGAACCATTAGTGTGGGATCTGCCATCCCTCATAAAGAAGCAAACTTTGTCTCGATTGTCAGGCGTTCAAAGTTGTGGGGATGAATTTACTGCAACCACCACTCTGAATGGGAATTCCCTTGATTCTGACGGCAGAAAGCCCCCGTTGTTAGGACCCGAGTGACTTGCAACGACGCTCATTTTCCGGGTGGGTTTCATATACAGCCTTCTACGTGATCGACGACGTTCTGCAGACGACATACATACGGGACAGCAACCTTTATCCCACAAGTCAAGTCATCGGATGAGAAAGAGCATCGCGCAGATGCCAGGCAATCTTCCATCAATTCAGTCCTTCGATAGGAACATACACAGATTAGGAGGATCGACTAGTGCCCTTGAAGTCAGGAAGGAAACCCTTCATTCAACCAAGCGGTATCGACTCTGGTCACAAGAGCAAAGAGAAATTGACCTTATCAAACAACTCTCTGCGTTGAAACGAGAGCTGAATTTCTTTCGACCCTGCTATGAGGCTGCACTAGCCTTGACATCTAACATATATACGGTTTCGCAAGAGATGTATCTCAATTACTATCTGCGGCCCACAACTATGATTGACAACACGGGAAACGGAATCTCTGATACCGACTGGTCTCATCTGGCTGATACAGAGTGGCTAAAGCGAGCGGATGAGCTTGTAGAGCACTTAAAGGACTACGAACGTACGGTCAAGCAAGCCGAGGCGGAATGGATAGAGCTCGCCCAGTATCAATGTGAACGCGACCGCTCGCGGTGGATTTAGAACAGTGCTGAGATTAGTTGGTTTGTGAAACCAGTATAAACGTTATGTACTTTACAGCACCGTGTGTTTATTTGAGAAGAGGATGGCTTTGCCATGCTGTTCGAGGACCGTCATTGCCACTAAGCTCAGTCATTAGTCCCAAATGTGAACTGGTAAGTTCTAGTGCACGAAACCGTATGAAAGAGAGACAGCTAGAAATTCGCCTTCTTTCCACCCAAAATTACAGCCGAAAGCCTGGACTTAACTACAATACTATCGTTTGTAGACTCTTAGATATCGCCCACAGCACGACCATCTACACTGTATTGCCACTGTAACGGACCATGCCTCGAGCTATGTGCTTCAGAAATTGTCTCTTATGAGATCCCACGAGTCACACTGTAGCCATGCGATAGTGCACAGCGGCCAACGGTGTGATATCTGTGATTTCCAGAACTATGTGTTTTACGTCTTACCACGCTTCTTCGTGGACTTTGCCCGACGACCATCGCGAACATTGCTTTTCGTGTACTACTTTATCTAGTCGAGAGCAATAATTCGGGAGAGGTATTTCACACTTTACCGCACTTTTTGGAGGATTTTGTCACTAAGCTGACGAATCTTGACGCGACCTTTTGTCATACTTCTCTCCATGTATTCCCATGCCCACGCGGTGTATTTCGATTTTATCGCAATATACTATGATATTTTACCCGTGCTGTCCTGGCCACTCAGTCTCTTGCGTCTCGGTGTACACTTATTACGATATTTATGCAGGGGTAAATTACTGTACTCAATCCACAAAATGTTGCTTAACCGCTGGAAAAGGTGTCAGAATGCCCACGGCTACTGACTGTATCGCATAAACTACTCAGTCAATCAACGCCGGCCCTGGTAGATACCAACGGTGCCCCTCGAAACCTACAAACATGTCAAGGCGCTGCACACCATTTGACGGGTACAGATCCGAGGAAATGCGGGCCGGCGTCGATTTTATGATTCAGATAAAGGGCACAGTTCTATGAGGTTCGCTTGAGTTCTGGCGAGAGTATCACCCCGTAAGGCAGACTAATGCAGAGTAGAAGGCTCGACCAGATCTAAAGTGCAATTCCGCTGCGTAAATGTCGTGACAGAGGTGAACGAGATGCGGAAGACGGGTCGGAAGACGGGTCGGAAGACGGGTCGGAAGAGGCCGCCGGAGCGGTCGCAATAGCCGGTTTAAGATACCACAGTATTCTGAGGGAAATGGGCTTTGCCTCGTGATTGGGCGAGACAATACACGGAGAAGTGTGGCAGAAGAAGAAATATAGTGCACGAACGGGTAAGGACCGGGTGGTCATCAAAGAGGTCGCGACGGTCGAGACGGTCGGTGGCAAAATCCATGAAGAAGCGTGGTAAAACATGAACCCTCACTCCGCCAAAACTCCGCCAATCTCTGCTGCCCGTGATTGGCTGACGAAAAGACACAGATAATCGTGGGAAAATATGGAGCACTCCGTCAACGTCTGCTGTCCGTGATTGGGTGATGAAAAGCCACAGGAAACAGTGGGAAAAGGTCATCAAAGCGGTCGCGACGAGTCGTCGGGCAAAATCCACGAAGAAGCGTGGTAAAGCGTGGTAAAACGTGAAACACTCCGCTCACATCCGCTACACCGTGATTGGATGCCCACAAGCCACAGAAAAACAGTGGTGAGAGGTCGATAAAGAGGTCGCGACCAAGAGTGCAGAACCATGGTTTTCTGTGGCAAGATGTGGAACCCGCCTGAGGTGAAAATAAAATGCACTTTGATTCGTGATTGGACGAGGCAATATACGAGAACCAGTGGGTAAGTGGTCATCAAAGAGGCCGCGACACTGACACTAACTAGGCAAAATCCACGAAGAAGCGTGGCAAAATATGAAACACTCCGCAAACACTCCGCCACCACTCCGCCAAATTCCTCTGCCCATAATTGGATGCCCAAAAGCCATAAGAAATCGTTATAAGAGGTCATCAAAGCGGTCGTGACGGTTCGCGGGCAAATCCACAGAGAAGCGTGGTAAAGCATGATAGAATATGAAACTCTCCGCCAACATCCGCTGCGCCGTGATTGGATGCCGAAAAGCCATGGGAAACCGTGGAAAGAGGTCGATAAGGAGGTCGCGACGGTCATCGGGCAAAATCCACGAAGAATTCTGTTAAAACATGAAACACTCTGTCAAAACTCCGCCAACATCCGCTGCCCAGGATTGGATGCCAAGAAGCCATACGAAACAGTGGTAAGAGATCGATGAAGAGGTCGCGACCAAGAGCGCAGACCCCATGATTTTTGGCGGCAGGATTCAGAACCCGACACCAAGAGAAGGCTGTATAGTCCATTGCCTTACTCACTCATACCCAGCAGGAAGTTTTCAGGCTTGAGACACAGTACAGTATTGTATCGTATTACAGGACTGTACTAGGCCGATTAAGTGGCAGCTATGCAGCGTTCGACTATGAGTAGGATACTGTACACCTAATAACAATCATAATATCTGTTCTGTATCTATGTACGTGTCGGACCCTTCCAGTTGGATCCCAGGTCACGTGATGCTCGCTGCAGGCAGCATCACAACTAGTGGCAACTGCCTACTAGGCAGTTGCTGCACTAGCCTGTGCCCTCGGGCACTGGCTATGGCTATAAGTAACTTCCGTACTGTACCCTCATAGGTAGTTCCAAATACTATCACACTTGTTCTCACTTCAGGGTTTCTACTCTTCCCGGTCCTCCTGTGTTTCTGTTTATCAATAAACACTTGTCTGCGCCGGTGTGTAGTTGTACCGTGAACGCGACCGACAGGACTTGGTCCGCGGCATTCGTCCAATCCGCGTTCTGCTTGGCTGGATTACTGTCGCTGGGGGGCATTGCCGAACGCCTGGCCGGCCCCAGTGCGATAGCCACTGGTTGAGAGTGCGCTGCATGAAGTGCAGATGTACTGTATGGGAAGTACGTGTAGTGTGCGAGGCTTGCTTGTTGATGCTTCTCGGGTCAATGCTCACCTTCGACCATCGAGACACCATCGGCAGCCGGACGCGTCGCCACGGCGTCCTTCGCGTAGATGGAGTGCCGCGATGTTGAAAGGCAGCGTAAGTGGCAGTATGTAACGTGTCTTGAAGATCTGTTCTGAGCTATGGGTGGTGTTGGTAGTGATAGCATAATTCGATATGGTGACTTCCTGAGGTGTGTTCTCCGTGTGATGGACCATCTCTTTCCCGTCAACTCCGCCTCTTCGCCGTGTACTCTTCACTCTCCGATACCGTAAACCATAGTCGGGCAGGAAGATGGAGTGCCGAAGTCCATCTTCCATCCAGGGGCGTACATGAAAGAGGCACCGCTCTCTTCCCGTGTACTGGTACTGTATGTTGGGTGTTTCGGGAGGCTCGGAAAGTGATTTTCGACGTGTCGACGTGTCGTTGATGACGGAGATGGAGGAGATGGATGTGTCTGAAGATATGTTCTGTATTGTACGTGATGAGGAGTGTTCTTTGTTGTGCGTGATCGCAGTGATGTCGTGTTGATTATATGCCTCTTGTTGATTCCGCCTCTTCGTCGCGTTTCTTCACGCTCTGACACCGTAAACTGCGGTCGGGCAAGAAAACGGGGGACTCAGGTCCGTTCTCCATCGTTGGGCGTACATGAAAGGGGCGCCACTCCCTTCCCGCGTACTGGTACTGTATGTTGGGTGTTTCGTGAGGTGCAGAGGGTGACTTTCGGGACTTCGACGCGTCGTTCGTGAGAGGATCACCGCGTTGTTGAGCTCCTCCTGGCACTCAGAGACAGCCAGACTGTTTCTCTGAGAGTTCCCAGCGGACACCACGTGGAGGTGGGAGCTCGTCGTCCGCCGGGAGGTAGTTCTTGAGAAATCAATGGCTCAATCTGCTGTAATAACCACTCAAAGGTACCGTAAGCCACGATCAGGTAATCGATTTTTACATCTTCATAAAAGGAGATTTAGTCTTTATGGATCCTCCCTATATAGCGAAGGCGGTCTTGTAAGCTAATCCTCGTTCAATGCTTCGTGCAAGGCCCAATCCTCCTCCATCGGATTACTCTCTGAATGTGGTTCACGGTTCGCCGTTTCCATCCTCACAGATTGAGTGCCACTAACTACCATACAATCTTGTGGTTATAGTCGAAATACCCCACGGAACCTGTAAAAGCGGCAGTCCAATTTTCGGGACTTATCGTGTTCTGAAGCTGTGCTGATGCAAAGATACAATACAAGTGATCAAGACTTCCTACGACGTGCCATTTTCATGCTTTTTTGTCACTATGCCTGGCAATATCTCGTTACCGTCGAATGACAGGGCTTTTGAAGCACAGAGCTTCTCTCTTGCTGCTCTTCTATCCACCATTAGTGCTGCCGCCTTTGCCTGTGTGTTCACCGTGGTGACATTCCTGATACTACGTAAATTCGACCGGTTTGACCCCATCCTGTACCTCATCTCCGCTAAGTTGGCAATTCATCTGAAGCTAAACAAAGTACAGGGAACCACGAATTTTTTCCCACACTAACATCCTTACGGAGCAGCTGCCTCGTCAGCCTTGGCGCTTGCTGCGTCGCTTTATCACGATTTCGAGCTCAAATATAGCACATGACTGCGGTATTGAGGCCTTATTCTTCGATCGATACATCCAATTTTTGCTCCGATTATTCGGGTGGTCTGTGCTGATCACTCCAGCCGTGATGGCATACAATTATTGCCTGGGTTCCGCTGATGGAGTAATAGATGCTCTGGACAGATTTAGTTGGTCCAGCTTGGATCCTGAGCAAGCTAGGTTCTACTGGGTCTACGCTATATGCGTGCCCTGTTTTGCTGGTTACGTTTTATTTTCTATCAATCGTGAGCTCCAACAGGCCGTCTCGTTACGCTCATCTTTGATCCAGAAAGGTAGTAGAGGGACTGATCGGCGTCCTCCTCGGTTCTTTGTCGCAGTGACAGGAATTGCCCCTGACCTCCAATATGAGCGAGGACTGCGGTCGTACTAT